CACTAAGGTTCTAGACGAAACAAATAATTTATACTCGATTCGAAATTCGAATTCGTATAAGACGATTCGAATTCGAAAAATTCAAATATAAACACAAATAAGAATACTAAATTTGATTTGAATTGTTATCAAATACAAATTAAATACGAATATCGGTATATTTGATTCGAATGTTAATCAAATATATTCGATTAATAATAGTGATTGATATAATGATCCTGAAACTTATGACATTAAAAGAAGGCTTGTTGGTGATAAAAAAATATTAATAGTAATAGTAGTAGTAAATAGTAATAATACTACAATAACTATTAAGAGCTAGCTATAGTCTCAAAGAGTAGCCCATATATACATTTTCATATACACATTCCAAACCAATTTGTAATAAATCAGAATTAAAGTATCATCAGGAGTAAGGGTTAAACGAAACAAATAATTTTTAATTCGATTCGTTATTTGGATTCATAAATATGATTTAAATTTGAAAATATAGAATATAAATACGAATACAAAACAAAGTTTTTGTTCATACATCTTACAAATATGAATGCAAATAATTATTATTTGATTCGAAGAATAATCAATTATATATATTTGTTTATATATATATATATATATATATATATATATATATATAAAATCAAATATCTAGTATGTGTGTGCATCCACTAGTCACTATATATGTGTGTAATATAAAATATATATCTTATGGTGTTTTTTTATTATCAACGATGCTAAATATCTAACATAAAATTAGAGTCGTTTGACTTTGATGTATACAATTATCAACTTATGTCACACATTATATGTATAATTTCTAATATGTGTTAGTTAGTGTTAATTTCAATAACAATAATTTTGAAATATATTTATGTATAACAATCATAAAGTAGATTCACTTTAGTATATGTTCACAACCTAAATCGATCCATTAAATTTTTTTTAAAAAATGAAATGTTACATATTAAATTCTAAAAATGCATATTAAGTCATAGCATGCATTTATAACATACGAAATATATGAAAAGCTGTTATAAATTGATATTTGATTTATATTTTTCTTATGATCAAATTGATTCGATACTCGTATATGATTCGTTAATTATTCAAGTTGTTAAACAAATACAAATCGAAATTATTATTCGTTTCATATTCGAATTCGGATTCGGATTTGGAAAAATTAAGCAAATACAAATACAAAATCAGACTATTCAACTCGATTCAGTTCGTTTACAACCCTACCAATAACTTTAATTTTTAAATTTAGTGATCTGAGTCAATAGATCTCTCGTCAATTAGGATTTTAGTCTCTCTATGTTAGGCCAATAGGCCTAACTACAAGAATATTTAGTCACAATATATACGTACGATTAATATCTAGGGGTTTTCCCTTAATATTACTAAATTAAAGATGATTTCCAAAAGTGTGATCACTTTAATATTTGGATAAAAATATGACTATAATAAACTAATAAAGTGACACTCAATAAGTCTATTGTTCATATCACTGTCTCATTTTCGTGTCACTATCATCATCACATGTGTCACTGTCGCCGCCACCGGATATCGGCTGGCCATTGTGACACCACCACAGTGCCGCCGCAGCAGTGACGCCGTCGTAGTGATGCCGCTGCTGCACAGTGACACTACCCACCGGAAGTAACTCAGGTCGCCGCCACCTCATCACTGTGACCGCCGGAAAGATTTCCGGCACTTTTTTTCGGCACCCCGCCGCCAACAACAACAGTACGACTATATATCACGCTACCAGGACCAAGCTGTCACCGCCGCCCCAGCCACCGTCGCCACAATGACGCCACCCCAGCACAACCATCTATCCGTACACAGCCATGCCCCTTCCTAGGCCACGCCCCATCACTCCATCCCCAATACCCCTCCCTTGTTCTTAGCCTCCGACCAGCCCAGATCTAGCCCAAATCGGACTCAAACAGCCTCAAATCTAGCCCCTGACCAGCCCCTTTTCCATCCTCGGCTTCCGCATACCTGAACCGGCGGCAGCAGAGCAGCGAGATGAAATCGTTGCTTCCTCGAAGCTCCAATCGCTTCCTTAGCCACCTGTAGTTAGTTCAAAACGTTGCTTCCTCGAAGACCCAACCACTCCGCTGCAAAATCGACGTACACCGCTTCGAACAGGAGTAGAAGAAGTGATGTGCAGGTGAGAGTAGTTGTTGAAGGCAGCGTAGGTGTCAAAGTCGGCGGCGTTGGTGTCGAAGTCTACATCGATTTGATCCAAAAAAGGTGGAATCTCCCATCCCAGGAACCCCTCATACCCCGACCCGACAGGATTTTTGGGAGGATGTTAATCACGGTGACTCAGTCGGCCCAATGATGGTAGGCCTTTTTCCCGTGCGTATCAGAGGCGCAGCCTTATTTCAGGTTCTGTGATCTCCACACGGCCGTTGCGGATTTCGAACCTTGGTCACTTGATCCAAATTTCTCACCACTGAACCAACTGAGCTACCTGTGCGGATGAAGTCTACATCGATGGAGGTATGTGCAGGTGAGAGTCGTAGATGTGGAAGAGACGTAGGTGCCCAGGTGATAGGCTTAAGAGATGCGACGGGTCATTTTTATGTCCAAAGTTCCAAACAAATAATGGTAATATTTGTCCTTTACAATTTACAACTGTATTGACTATTGGTAGTAGTTCACCCATTCTTTATAATACCTATTCACCCATTCTTTCTAATATCTATGCTTAGAGTACTTTAAATTAAATAAAGTCCAAATAACCAATAAATATTATCGTGAAAAATGACTAGGGTGGGTGACACCTAATTCATTTGTATCATGGATATAGTATCATTTTTATTTTATTGGTAAAAAGGTCTTTAAATTTAACATACAAAATTATAAATGGGGTAATAGTCTTAACTAAGGGTCAATTTTGATTGCACTAAGATAGGTAGAATCAAAAGCGTAATTTTTGGAGCGTAATTTTCTTATTAATAATTTCATATACAATACACCTAAGTCATGTACATTTTATAGGAAAATTTGGCAACATAGAATTCGAAGTACCAACATAATAGTCTCTTACTTTTTTAGTTCTTACCACACTATTTAAGCTTGTACTTAGGGATGGACTGGACCTGGGCAACCTTACCCAGGACCGGCGGCCGAGTACTGTTTAGGCCTAGCCCAGTCGACTTTCTAGGGCCCAATACCGGCTCGGTATCCGGACTCGATTTTTTGGGCCCGGTCCGGAGTGGCCCGTGCCGGTACTGTCTAGGTCTGGACCGGTACCGGTCTCGGAGCATACCTGGGGCGGTACCGGGCTCCAATTTTCTAGTACCGGTGCTGTACTTGCATAGAATTCTATGTTACGAAATTTTCCTATAAAATGTACATGACTTAGGTGTATTCTATATGAAATTATTATTACGAAAATTACATTTAACTTACAAAACGTAAGCCAGAGAATGCACAACTTTTCACGTTTTATAAATAGTTTTAACCTAAGAGGCGAGGCTACGAGTAAGAGTCCTCCAGAGGAACACTGTCATTAACAAAAAAAAACAAATTACCGTACTTAGCATTACTCATGCATTAATGAAGGAAAAAAGTACACTTATATTACTAGTTAAAAGTTATTAACAAAAATATTACTAACATTATCTCATATTTAAGTTCATGTAAAAGCGATTAATATATTCCTTATTTGACCTCGTGCTAACGGCCACCTGTTCTCTTTCCGGTTAGTTTAATGTTTCTGGCCTTACATGTATTCCGTTTCAGTTTTTAACTCCATTACTATTACTATTGTCTCTTCCAAAATCCAAAGTATAGTTACAACTTACTACAGAGTACAAGATAATTAGAAATATTACGATTCAGGTATCCACATTTACTTAAAAATCATTAGTATATACTACAAGTACCTCACTACCTTACTACATCATCTTCCGAATCAAAAGTTACATACTACAGAGTACCACTGTTCTAAAAATCGACCTAGTCGGACCGATTAATCGGTCTAGTTGGCCTAGTCGGTCCTAACCGTAGAGGCCTAATCGGCCTAGTCGATCAAAAAATCGGCCTAGTCGGCCAAAAAATCGGCTGAGTCAGTCGCCTAGGCGCTAGGCGCCCCTCAACCTCCCAACTAGCACCTAGCGAATTTTAGAGCAATGCAGAGTACAGAACCATATACGTGACCACTAGTTTGGCCTAGGGATGGACTAAACCGGGTCGGCTCGGCCCGCTACTGTGCGGGCCCAGACTGGACCGGGACCGGTTGGCCGGTTCCGGGCTTTTAGCCCGTTTGGGCGGGTCAGGCGGGCTGGGCTCGGGCCCAGTTTTGGGCGAACCAGCCCGGGCGGTTCAGGCCGGGCCTGGGTCAATTTTTTTTTTCATTTTTTTTTTTCTTTTCCTAGGGTAGGGATGGGTGTTTTGGGGAGGTTTGGGGGTGGGGGTGAGGAGGGGGGGTCGGGGGATAACAAGAAAGCAAAAAAAAATTAAACATTGAACCGGGCCCGGCCCGGCCCGGTATCAACCCGAGCTGGTTCCGGGCCCAAGGATTTGCAAAAAAGCCCGCTTGGGCCCGGCCCGGAACCGGAACCGGACCGGCCCGGGTCCATCCCTACTTTGGCCATAGTTACTAAGAACTTGTTACTTTGTTCTATATCTCCATTACTTTATACACCAGGTGAAGGTTTAAACAATGGAACTAAGATACAAAATCTATAAATTCAAGATCTTCACAGGTATGATACTTTTCTCCTCTAGTTTCCATCTGAAATGAGTAATCTCCCACTTCCTTACATTTGTAATGAATCGTTCCTTAGTGACATTCATCTCCTCTACAATCACGTAACTGATTTCCTGGAATTTCCGTAAATCCAGACTTTTTATTTCTATTTAGATCTTAACCATTTTGGACAATAAGGTCATTTCTCTTGTTCAGTTATGACTTATGAGTCTCCATGCGTCTTAGATAGTCATAGTCATATTTTTGTAAACCCAATCAGTTTTGGTAATAGATGTGTAAAAAAATCCTAATTAAGCCTGGATGTGTGTACTCTCATTCAAAAAGGAAAACCCAAATACCAATAGACACACTTGAATATTCCAAGGGCAAATCGTCATCAGTCAACCCGAATCTACCACACATACTTGCAAAAGCAACAAAAATAAGTTTGTATCGTAGAAGCAATCTTGAAAAGCAATGCTTCGCTCACTGATCTTTTCGAGATTTGGAATCAACTGATCTAGCTGGCTTAATCACTTTGCCAAGCAGGATCAATGCAATAGGTACAACTGTTCCCACATAATAGACACTGCCATATGAAGCAAGTGTTTCATGGAGGCTCAACACCTGCACAATACATGATCCAGCTTATTAGATACTGAAGATGATCCTTTATTATTTACATTAAAAGATAAAAAAAATTCTTGGGTAAGCCAGTAAAAACTTACCATGAAACCAACACAAGAGTAATTGAGAACCAGAACAGTGTAGGCAAAGTTGATCAACACTAGAATCTTCTGAAGAAGAGCATTACTGGTAGCTTGTTGCCACTTGTAAATAACTGTTCATAAATTACATGTGCTTAGATGCAAGTGAATGAAGTGATCAACCAGGTGTGTAAATAACTGCAATCTAAGAGATGATTACAACTAGGGAAAATCGCATTTCAGTCCTTCAATTAGTATCCATATTGAAATGTAATCCCCATAATTTCAAGTTTGTAAATATCACCCCTCAATTGTCCAAATTATCGTAAATGTGGTCCTTTGAGGGGTGACATTTACGATGTTGGCGAGGACAACATTTACAATAACAATTCGGACAATTGAGGGGTCACATTTACACACTTAAAAATACGGGGACTACATTTCAATATGGGCACTATTTAAGGGACTAAAAGTGGAATTTTCTCTTACAAAGAATATTACCTTTTGAGCCAGAAATCATAATGGCAGATTGAACAAAGAAAATAATATACCCGGGGTATAAGCCCTGCAATGTCAAAGGAACTACTGATTAGAAAAACAAGTCCATAATGGACTCTCATTCTTCAAAGATACAGAGTAGTAAAGAATAAATATAATATTAATAGAGATAATAATAGTAATAATATGAAATAGTAATATTAATGTTACTACAAAACGTAGCCATAATAATACTATTATTATTTAATAACTATAAAAATTGCAAAATTCAAGAAAAAGACTTCATTCTGATCCACCCAACGACGTGTATAGTTCCGCTGCTCCAGATAAATTTGAAATAAAAAACCAGAGACAATCCTCCTTGCTTGCAGAAACGAATGGATCAGAAGGGGGCTTGGTTCTCTATTCCCGGGCCCATCCATTGCAGCAGAGCAGCTGAGCCGTTTCATGAGGGAAAGGCTGACAAAGGGTATTTTGTTTTGGCTCCTTACATCGTGAAGGCATAAGCCTCCTATCAAAAAATGAAATAATCAGGGGAGATAGTATAGAATCGATTGAGCGGAGGCTGTTGGGCAGATTCTTATCTCTTTCAACCCATGACACTTCTTCTAGGGCCTATAGACACAAGATATAATAAGGCCATTCTCCGGCCTGGGAAAAGCAGCGAACTCTAGAAGCTAAGGCTTTGTTCACCTTTGGACACAAACACTATTTCGGAAACCCGCCTTAGAGATTGAACGGCTATAAGAGCAACTTAAAAATGACATGGGAAAAAATTTTAAAAATATATAGTGGAAAGATCACATGTCAAAATGACCAAGGGCAACTCCATAACATAAGGAGAGAACAATGGGAAAAGAAACGAATTTTAACCAACCAGTTTATGGTAAAAACTAACTTACATGCCACACAGCACTGACAGTCTGAGTTGCTAACAGTTGGAAGAAACCAGGCTTCTTGCCCTTCTGGAGGAGCCTCTCATAGACATCTGGACAATGTTAAAAAATAGATTAGTCAATTGTTAAAATTACATGTCATCTTTTCCAAGATGGGTTTATTTCCATGATATTCCTATAATGAGCCAATTGGTGCCTATCTATTTCTATCTCACTGACAGCCCATATAAATGTTACGTGACTAGAAGGTATCAGTGTGTTACAGATTACACCAAATGCCTAATCATGGAGAAAACAATTTCAGTTGATTTAGCAAGGAAATACATGCATCAAACTTCAGTTATCATAAGTAATCATCCCATTGACAAACTATATAAATATTACATGGCGAAAAATGGCATCACTGGTTACATTGTTGCCAACTCATAGCACCCGGTGTTTAACCAAGAGTCAAAAAGAGTGACAACAAAAGTTACCCACATGCAATCAGTGAACATCTGATTACCTTAAACAGCTTCAGATTCTATAAAATATTAAGACTCCTAATTTACAAGAGTTGAGCCATAGTTTAAAATGTGTACCTAGATGAAGCAAGACTCTTTTTTAGGATGGAAGGAATATTATGCTATTTTAGATGCAAACTTTCAGCATCAGAGTGATAGTAGTAAGGGTTAATCAATCAAATTGAGCAAGAAAGCATCCACATTAAGTATGCCTATAGATGTGAAACAGAACACTTAACTTCCAAACAAGATGTAAACATTAGAGGGACTATAGCCTTACAATGACGTAGCCAGGTGCTCACTTGTATGTTCCATACAAGAGGTAACTCAACTGAACTTTTAGCCAGCTCAACACCTAATACGTCTACATTTTTTGCACGGTCCCACTGTGGCTTTGGAGTAGAAGAACTAGTCCAACCGCTGAAGCCCAAACCAGATATAATGACAGAGGCTTCTGAGATTGACCATATAAAATAATACTTCCAACGTGCAGTGAAGCCAGACATGTACTGGTAACCCAACCGTTTCCAGAATCCCCATTCTTGGTATAATGAATCAGTAAATCTGGAAAGAGGAAAATGTGGGACCAGATATAGATACATCCCCATGCAAAAAGCAGCTTGAAAAATAGCCCTTAAGGTTGGCACAAAAGGTGATGGATTTCCTTTCTCAGAACGCTTCCAGATCTAGACAAGAAATTGCAAGATATAAAAGTTGGGGAGATTCCCATACATAAGACTTAAACATAACACATTCCCTCAAATAGGACCATTTATTGTATTTTCCAAAAAAAAAGGAACTCATTTACTAATACTAATATAAGAAGAAGCTATTGCTGCATTTATTCTTTTACTAGGACAGAAAATGAGATACCTATGTTTAGGATAAAACGAGGATACTCCCATTCGTGCACATGACTCATGGTTTTATCCTATTTGCGGAACTTACGTTAACAGTTATAGATTGTGTCAACATATTTTACTTACTCCTTTTCTCTCGGTCCATTCAAGGTAATCTTTCATTTCAAACACTGGACCGGCAAAATGGGTCCCACAACAGAGGCAATAACCACAGTACTCAAGAAAAGATGGCCGGCTGAGCAGGCGGTGTTTTTTTTGTGCCTCTCTTAAGCCCTCCTCTTTCTGCAATCCATCTTGGTAATTTATCACACATGAGATGATTTTCAGTGTAATCACCATCAAAGCACCTGAAAATTGGATAAAAGAGAATCAATTACAAATTACAATCTATATAGGCTTACTAGTAGATAGAAATTATAAATGGATTTATCATCATAATTACATATCTAAACACTGACGATTCTAAGTGAACCGGGTGAAAAACATATAATGAGTAGGGTAAAGAAAGAAATTAAGAGAAAAAACTGTATTTTTATGACGATCAAAGAAGATAGACAGGTAGACATTACCCGTAGCATCAATTCCTCCTTCTTTCCATGCATCCCCACTCATGTAGTATACATGGCTACATGTATATAAACATAGTAAAAAAAGTTGAATATTTTGAAATTAATCAAGACAACCAAGTTTAACTTCATGCAATCATCCAAATATTCAATGGATATTCTATACAAATCTAGCAAATATAAAGGGAAATAAACAATAATCCCAGTTAACTAGCATACTTTTCAAAATTTGTCAAATCACACCCCTCTTATCCTAGCACAAACTTATACATTGAATACATCCCCAGGCAGTTCCAATCACATTGAAAAGAATTGCTAGAAAGGAAATAATATGAAGTGATATGACATTATTTTTCTTATTTTCCTTCACGTTTTCCCCAAGATGAAAATCTCACTCCCCAATGCACACAAAAGTAATAGACTTGCAACTGAAATTAAGCACTTCCATGATTTTTTTTTTGATGCGTCACTATTGTTGATATCATTTCGCATTGGATACGCTCTAAAACATACAGTAGATTGGAATGAATTGAGTTCTCCATTTTTAATATCCATGCAAATATCAGAATCAAGAAACGTATGAAATATTTGGAATGTGGTAGAGCCAGGCTGTGAGGGATGAACATAGAATATAGCGATATACCATCCAATGAGGTAACCAAAGCCCAGGAAGAAAGTGATGGTGCCACAATAAGCGCGGTTGACAAGCATCGAAACGTAGCCCAAGAGCATGGGCACCAAGAAGTGGAGATTGGACGAAAACCCGAACGACAAGTAGGAGAGCGCGGCGCCGGTCGCGGCGGCGTAGATATGCCTCCCGGTAGCGCCGCCTGGGACAAACCTATGAAACATGCTTACCGGAATGGTAGCAGCGAAGCAGAGCAGGAATCTGAGCACCGGCACAGACACTCCGATGGCTGACGCCATCGATTCCATCTCCGGCAACCCCATATCTTCGGTTGGCTAGTTCTGCGGATCTCGATTCCGGAATTCCCAAGGGTCCAGAAAAGAGAGCGAGAGATTGAGCCGTAGAAATGTCAGTGGAGGTGCAATTCACAAGCACTCGTGTCATAAGGTCATCATCGGAAACCTGAGTACGGCGCGTTCTATACGGAGTATTTTTCACGCCTACTCTTCTTGTCTGGTGCAGGGTCTGGTGCAGGGGACGGATGTTCCAAAAACCGGTCCAACCAACCAACCAACCAAATTGACGGGTCAAACTAAACCAACCAATCATATATTATGAGATTTGATTAATTAATTAATTACGGAGCAATTGTTTATGGTCACGATTTTGTGAAGAGAAAAGCTATCCAACCTCGACAATCACCTAAAGTTGCTATTTTTAATGTTAAAGAATAGCATCATGAGGCCTGCCCCGCCATTTTCTTAAATAAAAGTTGGGACCATGCGCGATTTCCAAATAGATGAGTATGGCACATTAGAATCACATATTACAACTAGAGCCGGTTTCGGGATCATAGTTTTCTGAGTTATCAGGTTTATCGGTCATCTTTTTCATTAAATACATAATTTTTTATTTCACGCACTGAATAGTGTAATAACAAGAAAAGGTAAGATTGTAGTTACTTTTTTGACTATATTGATTGAAGTTACTATAGATGATAATTTTATATGTTTTTTTATATATTTTCATAAATTAGAAGAATCAGTCAAGTCAGCAACTTCAGCCAAGATTTGATAAATTTCAATAGAATCAATCCGATTTGAACATTACCAAACAAGCTAAAGTTTGATACTTCTAATCTCAATGGGTAAATCAATTCAAAGTTCCTCTCAAATTGCAATTTTATACCAAACTTTTTGGATTCTATCAGGAATTACAAATTTACACACATTTCTATAAACACATTACAACTACTCCCTTCATCACGAAATTGAATTCCCTAATTGACCTACACACATATTTATGTAAGGTGGAGTTTTGTTTTGACTTTTGAGATATACTCCTACTTTGTGTCAAATCAAACAAAAAGTGAATAAAAAGTAAGAATAGTTGTGACTTTTGAGTTAAAGTGATTCCTTTTATAGAAATGAGAACTTCTTTTGGACACATTCATAAAATGTATGTGAGAACTTCTTTTCGGGACGGAGGTAGTATATTCCTTGCCGACATTACTACTTTCATCTAGTATTTAAGGTCCACATTGACACACTTTTTGTTTAAATATGCCATGTGGATCAAGTTGGTTTACTTGTAGCTCCACATGCGCAAGAAAATACAAAAGCAAATAAGGAAGAAGCGGCAAATGAATCAGTTCAAATAAAATGGCATGTGTTGATTACCAAAAACATAAGTACAAGAGTTGATATACTCTTAGTCATTCGAATGAATGGAAACTCAAATGCAGTATTTTAACCAACAACCCCAGTTAATTAAGATTTTTCATAAATTGATATACTCGAAGGCATAAATTGAGGTTGAGCTAGACATTAACTTACGAACCAACTCGAAGGGGCATGTTTCGAGAAAAAAGAAACATTTAACTTGCTAATAATATGCATGATCGATTCTCCATGCTCAATGTACTTGAGATCAACATATCCCCACACCAAATACCCACATAAGTTGAGAAGTGTAGTGGGTACAAAAAATGTGATGAATATCGAGAACTGGTCTTAAATAGGACCAAAATTTTACTTATGTACCCATATAGGAGTGTCTACTTTTTTTTTGTTAACTCCCCTTTTGCCCTTAAATTAATTGTAGCATACTAGGAGCACTCTTCATCGTAGGATCTCAAGTGCACATAGGTCTGTCAATGGGTCGGGTCTGGGTCGGAAAGTAGTGTTCCAGACCCAGACGCGCTAAGTTAATAATGGACCCGGACCCGACCCATTTACCCGGCGGGTCTGGAAATTTGGACCCATACCCAGACCCAACGGGTCTCGGAATCGCGTCGGGTAGACCCGCCCGCCAAGTATGATACGCACACCATAATAAATTTTGTGAAAATAACAAGACATGTATGTGAAATATAAGTAAAGTGTTCATATTTAAAAGCGAAATATATGTTCACTTTTCAAAAAAAAATCAATGTCTCTTATAGAAAATTAGTACTTTTATCTAATAAAGTATCAGTTCTTGTACAGGCATATAGCTCCACACTTTGCGTCACTTTCTCTCGTACAAAAAGCTCGTAGAATAAACTAGAAATGAAGTCATAAAAAGGTCTCTTGGACTACTAAGAGTATAAAATCATATGTAGTATTATACGAGTAAATGATAATGATATAATAATATTAATAATGATAGTAATAAATATTGTATTTTTTCTATCGAGCCCAATACACACTTTATCAGTATGTATTTACGGTCAAAATGGGCATTAGTTTTAGGGTATCTTACTATCTCGATCAGTATCACTTATATAGTAGTTATGTATTAATGTGTATATTTTTATTAAATAATCACAACTAATAACTTTGTGTATTGTTATGTATATATGTATACTCCCTCCTTTTCTGAAACAAGTTCCATCTTTCCTTTTCGGGCAGATTCAAAATTAAGTTCCACTTTCAAACATTTCCTTATTATCTACATCAAAACAGTGTCAAACAGTGCCAAACAGTGTTCAAACAGTGTCAAACAGTGCACTCCACAGTAAAGTCAAATTTATTTTCTTAATATGTGTGAAGTCAAATGTGGAACTTCTTTAGGAATCGGAGGGAGTATTAGTTTCTATTTTCTTTAAATTTTTATAACTAATCACTTTATGTATTAGTGTATGTGTATACAAATAAGAAATTTTAAACGGGTCCGGGTCTTTAACGGGTCGGAATCATATGTACCATACCCGACCCGTTTATTTAAAATACTAACGGGTCCGGATCCGGATCCGGGTAAACGGAATAAAATATAGACCCGTACCCATTAAAAACAACCGGATCCGGGTCGGGTCCGGGTCTAGAGTGGACGCTATTCCTTAGTCGAACAACAGAGGTGGAGAACAAATTAGATGAGACAGGATTAGGGCCGGCAAGATGATTCTTCTTCTTCAGCGAATTGGAGTTCGCTGCTGCAAGTGAAGGTTTCCGGAGATGCTTTTGGTGGCGAAGAAGTGGCTCGTCGGAGCTGCAATTTGTTCGAGTAGCTTGAAGAGGTGGCGTGTAGTGTTAAGCAGGCTGAGTTATCGAATTTTCCATCGGAAATCGTCCACTACAACCCTTAAGATCTCCTGTCGTGGCCTCGTGGGTCGATTCTATGATTTCTGAGCTCAATCTGTTCACTATGCCCCAATCTGAATCTCCACCGTTGTCAACTGTCTTCCCAGCCCGCCCGCCTCATCTCAGATCTTCGACGACTCGCCTTTCGATTCCGCAGATCTAGCCGCAATTCTGGGTAGAGCGGCATATCCTCGAGTCGAGACACCTCCTGCGGCGGTTGTGCAGGCTCCCAGCAAGAGATTCAATTGTGTTTTCAATTCTCCATCTTCTACCACTACATCAATTCGAACATGAGACTTGGCGGTGATGGTGGCGGCATCTGGCTCAATCACTGCAACGAGTCAATGAATACTCCGTCTTCGCAACCAGTCGAGTCAAGTCGCACTCTGGTCCTCTTTAGAGATGAAAACGGTGAAGGAACTCAAGAAAGATGTGCTGAATCGGCTGACCGCAGACATATTCCCTGCAAGTCATTTTTCAATTTCTTCATTGTTTGTTTTGTTTAATCTTTTTTATTCCTTTATTTTTTATTTTAAAATTGAATAAATATTTTCTTTTTAACATACTTCCTCCGGTTCTTATTTAAGTTCTTAGTTTGACTTCACACATATTAAGAAAATGAATTTGACTTTACTGTGGAGTGCACTGTTGGGCACTGTTTGGCACTGTTTTGCACTGTTTTGCACTGTTTTGTTTCCTAAAATGGAAGTGTGAACTTAAATAAGGGACATCCCAAAAAGGAAAGAGGAAGTATTGTAAAGTCATGTCTTTTTTTACACTGCAATTATGTTAGTCATTTTTTCAATTATGTCTTTTTTAAATTGCATGAGTAGTAGGGCTGATTATGTATGTACTCAATTAATCGTGTGATTTTATTGTAACATTGACGTATTTTCTACCTTTTGATTATAACAGTCGTATAATGACATTGTTAACATTCTTACAATTACTTCTTTTTAACAATGTTTACAATAATGTTACATTAGCATTGTTTTTAACAATGTCATTTTTCTAACATTGACATTGTCACGACAATTTCATTGACATTGTCGTGACAATTTCATTGACATTGTAATGACAATGTCATTTTCATTGTCGTCATTTTAATGTCATTTTTATAACATTGACATAATCACTATACGAAAATGTAACATTTTTTTGACATTGTGATGTTTTCATACATTTTGACAATATTTACGATATTGAGAGATTGTTTATTTTGTTAACGTTTAAGTGGTAATGTTTGAACATTGTATGATCTTTCTTGGCATTGTGATTTTTTTAGCATTTTGATATTTTTATGACATTGTAGCATTCTTTCTTTCTTTTTACAACACATACAAATATACAATATTGTGACATTGACATTGTTTTTAATATTGTTGTGTTTATAACATTAACATTGTCACGGTATTATTGTGATTGTTGTCGATATTAAAATTGTCATGCTATTAGCAAAAAAAATTATAAAAAAATGAAACAATGTCAAATAATAATGACAATTATTAGATTATATTATAGTAATTGTAAAAACTATATTGCATTTGTTGAAAACGCATTGATGGTAATGTAATAATGTTTTATCATATATAATTATAATATCAGGAAAAATGAAATAATGTCAAATAATAACAATTACAATGTCAACATTAACACTTGAACAAAATGACATTGCAAAAATGACAATGTCAAAGATATAAAAAATGACATTGTGATAATGACTGTTAATTTAAATGCTGCAAAAACAACATTGTGATGACATTGTTCAGAAGTAACATTATTTTTAACAATGTTATTTTTATAGATTGACATTACCGCGAAATTCATTGACGTCAATATTGACATTGAATTGCTACAATGTTACAATACTATAATATTATCAACAAACACAATGATAAAATGTCACAATTATATTATACAATGTGGCAATATTGTCCTAGTATTAACTCGCCGTAGATTAAAATTTCTGGTGTTATAAAATAATTATGAGAATGCTAAATTAAAGAT